CTGCAATCTGATCATGGGATCTAGTTGTATCCCCTAGCTATAGAATACTGGTCAGGGACATTGTATTTGTTCACTCTATAAAGATGCCTTTGATCACAGTTTCTTTCTTTTTGTTTGTCTGTTTGTTTGTGGTTTTCATTTGTTTGTTTATGTTACAGTTTTTGAGACAGAGTCTTTCTCTGTCCTAGAACTCATTCTGTAGACCAAGCTGGCCTTAAACATAGAGAGACCTGACTGTCTCTGCCTCCTGAGTTCTGGGATTAAAGATGTATGCTACCAGTGCTTGGCTTGATCACAGTTTCAAATCAATGTCTTAACTTCTACAAAACAGCTCTGGATATAGCCTTTCTCCAGATCCAGTCACTAAAGGTCACCAGTACTCTGAAGACAATCCAAAATTCCAGAAGCAAATTCTCCCATTTCTTTAATGAGAATGGTGGCTACTAGCAAGTTTAAACATGAGGATAGAATTCTTCTGTTTTTCTTTTTTTTATTATTATTTTCTTCTTATTTTACATATCAATCCCAGTTCCCTCTCCCTTCCTCCCTCATATGTCCCCAGACTACCCTCCCATCCCATCCCCCACCCACACTCTACAGGGAGGGTGATGCCTTCCAAGAAAGATCAACAAAATCTGTCAAGTCATTTGGAGTAGGAACTAGGCCCTCCCTCCTGTCTCTAGGTAAGGGAGTATCCCTCCATGAGGAATGTACTCCCACATTCCTTTCCTGCACCAGGGATACATCCTGGTTCCACTGTCAGAGGTCCCTTAGATTGCCCAGGCCTTCTAACTGAGACCCATGTTCAAAGGGTCTGAGTTGGTCCAATGCTGGTTTCCCAGCTGTCTGTTTGGGAGTCCATGAGCTCCCCCTTGTTCAGGTCAGCTGTCTCTGTGGATTTCTGTAGCCTGGTCTTGTCCCTATTTTCTTATCACTCCTCCCTCTCTGCATCTGGATTCCAGTTCAGCTCAGTGTTTAGTTGTGGGTGTCTGCTTTTGTTTCCATCAGCTACTAGATGAGGGCTCTAGATGAGGGCTCTATGATGGTAGATAAGTTAGTCATCAATCTCATTCTCAGGTAAGGGCATTCAAGGTAGCCTTTGTACTGTTGTTTAGATTGTTAGTTGGGGTCATCCTTGTAGGTCTCTGGACATTTCTCTATAGTCAGTTTTCTCTTTAAACCTATAATGGCTCCTTCTTTTATGTTATCTCTCTCTGATTTCTTAAGATAAAAAGCTAAGGCATTCAATTAACACTGGGATTCTGGATGTACACTGAAGTTTCTGCAGGTTTTTAATGTGTGTGATGGAGATAAAGCAGCGAAGCTGTTAGCACTTTGCTGAAAAAGCTCAGTGGTTTGCATAGAAAACATTGTCCTCAAACAGTGCAGAAGTTCTATCCATTCTGCATCGTAGTTGGAATTTTCAGCAGCAGGTGTGGTAGGAAAAGTTGATTTCTCATTTGCTAGCTTGCAAATGAAAAGATATTCTCTTTCATTGTTTTGCAAGTTCTACCCTTGTCTAGCATCTACTTCATTTGTACTCATCAAGTATAATTTTCATTTAACATTTGAAATCTGAAATGTGGAACATGTAGAAATGTCACACTCTGCTTTCTGAAATTGACTAAAATAGTTGATCATCTCCAAATGTGTGGAGAGGATTACAGAAAAATACCTATTGAATTTTCTTATAAGATCTTCCTAAGTTTTTTTTCTCAGAATCCCTAGAAATAATTCAGTTGCAAATGATGCAAATAAGCTTGCATTATCTCTTAGGACCTTCTACGTATTTGGCTTCTTAAAAGTTCTAAGGAAACATAGACATGAATTTTCAGACAATTCTTTCTTTTATTATACTTGGGCTTCTTACCCCACAGTGCACATCTCTCAAAAGTCTTCTCCATGGCATTTATTTAATGTTCAGCTCTTCAATATTTTATGAAAGAGTATTTTATAGATACTTTTTGAGTTCATTGGGATTTTCATAACAATTATATTGTAAAAAGTGTCAGAATTGTTAACTTAGAAAGTGATTGCTTCTATTTAAGAAGTAGTCACTTAAATAAAAATTTTTTGAGACATACCATGCCATTTTTAAATTTAGTTATGACTGAGAAATGATTTTGCTATTATTTTAAATTCCATTCTAAATTGTCTTGACTCATGAATAACTTTAAGACCAATTTAGGCCCCCTGAACATGGATGACAGTTGGGGGGCTTGGGCAGTTTGTGGGACCAGTAGCAGGGGAACCAGTATTTATCTCTAGTGTGCATGAACTGACTTTTTAGACTCCATTCCCTATGGAGCAATACCTTGCTCAGCCTAGATGCCTAGATAAAGCTGGTAGGGCCTTGGTCCTGCCTCAAGAGTTGTGACAGACTTTGTTGATTCCCCATGGGAGGTCTCACTCTCTCAGAGAAGTGGATAGGGGGTGTGGTGGGGAGAAGATGGGGGGAGCAGGAAGATTGGAGGGAGAGGGAACTAGGATTGGTATGTAAAATACATTTTTTAAAAAAATTAAAATAATAATAAAGGATTAGGCATTGAGATTAAGGATACTCCCCTGTCAAGGTTAGACAGAGAAGAAGCCCCACCGAGAAAGGGAGTCCTCCAGTTGCTCCAAGCTCAGAAAACTATCTGGACATGATAGACTGTGATCTTCATAGCAGGGTTCTCCAACTTAACTGTGTGTCACATATCATAGAGAAAATTAGATCATGCTATAAATACCCAAATCACATACTCTTTTGATTATTATTATTATTATTTTATTATTATTATTATTTTTGCCACCAGCTGTGAATGGGAATGTCTTTTTTAATTTCTTGTTGTTGTTGCTGTTAATTAAATTTATTTATTTAATTTTAATTTACATCCTGACTGCAGTTTCCCCTCCCTTCTCTCCCCCCACCTCTGTTCTGCCTCTCTCTACTCCACCTCCTTTTCTCATAAAAAAAAAAAAAAAAAAAAAAAAAAAAGGGGGCAGGCCTTCCATGGGAATCAAGAATGTGTAGCATAACAAGTTGCAGTAACAATAACCTCCTCCCCTTGCATTAAGGCTGGGCAAGGCAGCCCAGTATGAGGAGTAGGTTCACAAAAAGCAGCCAGTGTTAGGAATAGCCCCTGCTCCTACAGTTAGGAGTCATGTAAGTACACCAAGCTACACAACTGTCACATATACATAGAGAGCTTAGATTAGTCCCATGCAGACTCTCTTGTCGGTTCAAACTATATGAGCTCCTATGTGCCTAGGTTATTTGATTCTCTGGGTTTTCTGTTTGTCTTTGACCCCTCTGGCTCATACAATCTACCCTCCCTCTCTTTAACAGGACTCTTAAGCTTGGCCTACTATCTGGCTATAGCTTTTGAATATGTTTCCATCAGTTACTGATTGAAAGCTCTCTAATGACAATTTGGGTGGGCACTAATATATGAGTATATTAGAATATCTGTAGGTATCATTACACTGACATTTTTCCTCCAGTCATGTTTGGTTCTATCCTAAGTCTCAGTGTCATCTGTCCCCTGGGACCTGGTACTACAGGCAGTGTCAGGGCTAAGTTCAGTCTCACAGCATGGGTCTCAGACTGGACAAGTCATTGGTTGGCCACTCCCACAGTCTCTGGACTGCCATTACCCAAGCATATCCCATAGGCAGGACAAATTATAGGTGGTAGGTTGTGGGACTGGGTTGGTAACACAATCCCTCAACTACAAGTCTTCCAGGTAACAGGAGATGGCCAATTCAGGCTTCTTATCTGCTATTTACTAGCAGTCTTGGCTGAGGTCATCCTTGTAGGTTCCTGTAAGATTTTCTTGCACCAGGTTTCTAGCTGACCCCAAAATAGCCCCCTTTCAAGCTATCTCTTTCCGTTCTCTCCCTATCCATTCACCCCCAGTCTTATCCTTCAAGTTTGTTTCTCTACCCTTCCCAAGTCCACCCACAAAATCAAAAAAGATATCAGAAAACGGAAAGATCTCTGATGCTCATGATTTGGTAGGATTGACAGAGTAAAAATGTCCATCTTACCAAAAGCAGTGTAAATATTTAATGCAATCCCCATTGAAACCTCAACCCAGTTCTTTACAGACCTTAGAAGAACAATACTCAACTTTACATGGAAAAACAGAAAATTCCAGGATGGCTAAAACAATCCTGTACAATAAAAGAACTTCCAGGAGTTTTGCTATCCTTGATTTATTTCAAGGTCTGCTACAGAGCTATAGTAATAAAAACAACATGGTGTTGGCATAAACCAGACAAGATCAATGGAATCAAACTGAAGATGCAGATGTAAGTCCACACACCCATGAACATCTGATTTTTGAAAAAGAAGTCAAAATTAAAGAATGAAAAAAAGAAAGCATATTCAACAAATGGTGCGGGTATAACTATATGCTGGCATGTAGAAGAATGCAAATAAATCCATATCTATCACCTTGCACAAAACTCAAGTACAAATTGATGACAGGCCTCAACATAAATTGAGGTTCAGTGAACCTGATAGAAGAGAAAGTGGAAAATAGCCTTGAACACATTGACACAGGAGACAACTTACTGTACAGAACACCTAGATATAGCTTAGTATTGAATAAAACTTCTTTATTGCTATTTAATTACTACTCTACATATTACTCATTTATTCTCAGAAATTTTATCTACATATTCTATATTGCCAAATTATATTTATTTGAATATAATAATATACTTTTACTGATGAATATTAATACACACACAGTATAGGCTAGTAATTCTGTAATTAATGACTGACACAAAATTATTTGATGTTGCTAAGGCTATATTTCAGTGATTTATATTCATGTCCTTTTCAGATAAACACATTACAAAATAAGTTTTATATAATGTGCTAAATTTCCAAGATTTTTCCATAGTGCTTATTGAATATATAACTTTTATAAAATTTATATAGTTAAACAAAGAAGAATAACATCAGGAAAGCAAAATGGATAATATAGAAATTTTTGTTGGTTAATCTTCTAGAATTTGCGACATGATCTCCAATGTTTTAGGGACCTGAGGTCCCCACATTTGTTGGGTCTGCATATCACCCACCAGAGCACAGAGAGAGAAGTTTGTCTCAGTTTCATATCTCCCAGAATCAGGACACATGAGTGGACTGAAGGAAAAGCTAGGGCAAACACCTGACAAAATAAAATGAAAATATTTTTCTCCAGTAACTCATACTTCCAAATTTGTACAAAAATAGACAAGAAAAAAGTGGTGTATAACAGAAGAAAGGCAATCACAGTCTGCAAGGCTCTGAGGTGGGCCATGGTGCCAGCATCTCTGCATCCTTGGACATGCTGCTGCATCTTCTTGTGATGTGTCCACAAGGAGAAGATGAGCAGAAGGAAAGATGACAGGTACACGCCAAAGGGAACAGACAGGAACAAAGTATGGAGGCTTAACATGTGCCTATAAAATTCTGCAGGTTTATGGTAACGGAAGTGGTAAGATACGTTTCTCTGAGATTCGTTTATCCATATATTAATATGCAAGTTGACCAGTAAAATATGTAAAAACAAGGGGACCAGGGACACCAACAGTATTACTGAAACCATCTCTTTAACTCTCCACTTCAAATAAAGAAAAAGGGAGTTAGAAAAATTGGCTATCTTGAGAAAATAAAAAATACCGAGGCACGTAGCAAGCCAGATGCTGAAATGATGGCCTATAATCCATAAATTACTAAGGACTTTTGTCACTCTTGCAGTCATCATTAAATCTGGATTCAGAAAAGAGATTAATGAAGCTGTGTACAATAACCAGAGCAGACAAATTCTGGAAGCAGCCAAAGCAGTGAGGATTTGATTTACGAATGAGATCTTTTTTCTCTTGACCCAGCTCAGGCAGTTTACCAGTGCCAAGAATCCATTTCCTAAGTTTCCAATTATTAATTCTGTGGTTAAGATGAACATAAGTGTGTTTTGAAAGATATCACATATCGTTTGCCAAAAATGCTCCATTTTTATATGTTTAATTTTGTTGTTAACACATTCATTTGAATTGCTGCATCAATTTAAATGTAGTTTTGAAGATTTTTCTTAAAAGTGTTTCTGAGTTGATTCTCAGACCATACTTACTCTTAACTCTTCCCCACACACTAACAGAGGTTTGCCAATGACAGACTATGAAGCTCTTTCCATGGAAATGTGTCTCCTCACACAGATCAGGCAAGTCAGATCAGAACTGCCTTGCTCATACACAGTTCCTGAAGTACCTGTATTTTCTAGTCAATGATAAAGAAAATATTGAAATCTCAGATGGTATCATGTAAAGAAAAAAATTAAAACATTAATTTTGTTGTGTTTCTATATTAACTTAGAATACATATTTTGTTCTGATTGAGTTATGATCAAGAAATTCTTAGTATATGAAAGCTTACAGAAAATATGAATATGTCTCAGGAACTTTTTGAGTTATAAGGCATTATCCACAATTCAAAAGTGGAGATCTTTGTAGAGGCCTAGCCATATGATGTCCACGGTTTTCAAATTTTTATCTAGGTGATAATGCCACAGGCATCTTTATTCTTCCAATATTAAGTACTGAGAAAATATTTTCTTATCAGTTCACTTTTCACAAAGCTGTAAATAGATAGATACATTTGCACAAATACCCATAAATGTATAGTTATTGAGATCCAAATCACTTATTTATTTTTCAATAATTTATCCATTTTGTCAATATTTAATGTATATTGACTTCATACTTAGTTTTTTAAAAAACAGACCACAAATTTGCAGTATTTCCCATTATAATAATGAAGAATTGAAGTAAAAATCCAGTAAACTCAATACGCAAACTGATGAGTAAAATATGTAAAAACAAGAGGATAGGGACACTGTCAGTATTACTGCAACTATCTTTTTAATTCTCCACTTTAAATAAAGAAAAAGGGAGTTAGAAAAACTTGGCTATCTTGAGGAAATAAAAGATACCAAAGCATGTAGCAATCGAGATGCTGAAATGGTTGTCTATAATCCATAGCTTATTAATGACTTTTGTCATCCTTGCAGTCATCATTAACTCTAGATCCATGCATGTAAAGAAAACATTTACTCTTCTGTGAACAGTTGCTGAGAAGGGTTAGCTCACCCTCACAGCAAGATGCCTCCTTGCTCAGTCTCTTCATTGTCCAGCAGGGTTGAGCCATTCACAGCACAAAACAAAACAAAACAAAAATAACAACAACAATAAAAAATTAAAATGAGAGTCACTTACCCTCAATTCCCTCAAATGCCTGCTTTGTAAACATCACTAATTGTCATAAGGCTCCTGAAGGATGTCATGCATCCTGGTAGAAATAGAGAATGGATATCATGGTATGGTTAGTCACAGATCAGTAAATAAAGAGTTATAAAGGGCCACTTAAAACTCAGTACCAACTGCTAAATACAGCAAGGAAGCATAAATCATAATGCTAAGAGATGGCAGATAAAGACAAGTTGTATATAAATGAGTAGCGTTGACAATAGCTTCATTCAATAAAGCAATACTGAGCAAATAAAATTAACCTGATTTTTTGAAAACTTTCAGTTATTCATCATTTAGTTGTGAGTCCTACAGACAAAGCATGACAGGTCAGTATAGGACATTTAAGAGAAAAACACACATCTTCAGTGTAGAATCACAAAATCCCTGTGCCCCAGTCCATTCCAGGTAGCAAAGTGAGCTCAAGTCTGAAGAGGAAAAAACAGAGGCAGGAACAAGGGTGGAGCCATGTAGAATGGGTGCTGATAGTGAGACTTCATGAGTGTTTAGAAAAGAATCAGGACTTGGGTCTCTAGCAAGAATTACACTTGCCTGTAAGGAGCTTTCCAGAGCCTCCACCTGCAGCATTCGCTCGGGTTGGGAAAAGCTATATGTTCTATCTGCACAACAGCTCCTGGGGAGACTCTTCCCAGACAAAGCCAGCATGGCAAGTAGCAGGGCTCTAACATCTCATATACATTGGGGGTTGGTGTCCTGAAGAGAGTGAGTGTCCTCATCCATTGCAAAGTCAGTGTTACATGTCGGCTTTATCTAGAACTTTGCATATTTTAATTCTTCATTTATGAACACGCCTATTCACTGACTACATCAAACTGAAGTGATCAAAAAGAGAGAGATAAATCAACTACTGTTGACTGAGAACACCGAGTTAGCATTTGCATTAATTAAATAAAATTACCTTTGAGTCAGGAGGCTGAGTTACCAATTAGTTGGCAGGAAATAATCATAGAGCATCAGAGGGCACCCAGAAGAAATAGAGAAATACACCAGAAGTAGTAGGGAGGGGTTTTGAGTAGCATTGCTTTTTTATTTTTTATGAGCAGAAGGACAAGGAGATGCCAGCATGGTATGGAGAGAGAGTTAGCTAGTTGCTACTCAGTCTCCACTCTGAGCTAGGAGTTTTTCACCAGACCCTTTGAATCTCGAGTTTTGTTTATAAACAGAACAATAGAGATTTAGTTAAAGCTACCTTTGGTGGCAGGGGCCCAGCCAGTACCTGCCAGAACAGAATCCCACCAGGCTGCTGCCTGAGAGGCCAGCCTGCTGCTACAGAAACAGACCATTAACTGTGGGGTCGCAATCGCTGCTGAAAAGACACCTAAATAATTATGCTTATTGTAATATTCTGGCATATGTTTCTATAAAATTTAAAAATTTGTATTAAAACTTAGATTAAGTGATAGATGACTAATTTTCTTTTATTTTGAGAAAATTAAGAAAACATATTACCAGAATATTATTCTTTTTTCTTTAACATTAGTATTATTAATTTATAATAAACTTTTGACAATAGATTGAAAACTTTCTTATTTCATGTGACATTAGGGAATAGATCTGAATAGTTACCTTTATTCAACTCTTCAGTGTTTCAGTGGTGTGTGTGTGTGTGTGTGTGTGTGTGTGTGTGTGTGTATGTGTGTAATTTCAGAGATGACCATTTGTATTGGATAAAAAATCAGAGGACTCATCCCTAGAACAGAATAATTCTTCCTTTCTCAACAGTCATTAGATGCCTATAGGTTCTTTACCTAGGGATTGATCAAGTGAGAGTTCCTTTTATTATTCTTCGAGCCTTGTTCAGGTAGCCATACTGTTAAGATTTCATGGGTACAGTTTCCATATCATATATAAGAGACAATCTCACAGCAGACTTTTTGGTTCTCTGGTGCTTAAAACCTTTCGTCCCCTCTTCCTTGTAGTTTCTGAGCTGTAGGTTCAGAAATTGTGTATCTGGGTCCCACACAATCAGTGATTGATGTATTATCCACTTCTTTAAACAATATAAAATTGAATTAAAATATAAGAAGCTTAACACAATTAAAAAAGAAACACCTGAAAAGATTTGAGACATGTAGCATTGATGATGTCTTTAGGGTCTCAGTAATCTGATCTTTAGGTGCAAATGTCCCTCTTAATTCTACTAAACCTCATCTTCATAAAAGTGAATAAAATAGTGACTCACAACTTTACATGCATAACTACCATATGAATCAACTCTTTCTCTACTTCATATTTTGTCTACTTCTATACTTAATGCTTGCTTGGGAGATTGTCATGCTATTTGGGGTCAGGCAGCAGTTTATACGCCAGATTCTTCTTTGTCTTCTGTTTTCCACTCGCCAGGTTTTAATCAGAGTAGAAGTAGCAGCCCTGCTTTTCTAATTCATATCATTGAACGCTTTAGTCAACTGTAGAAAACAACGTTGGATACTGTGGAGTTCCACTCAAATCTTAACATCAGGGGGGGAAAATGTAGATCTTGTGAAATCTTGACAAAGAGAAGTAGATACACTCATGGAACGCAAGGACACACATTAGTTTGCGCCCATTGCTGTGTGCCTGTTTCTCAAGTAAAGCCACGCATGTCCTTCAGTGGTGGCTGACTTTATACATTCATGGCTAGTGCAGGGTTACCAGGCCATGAGTTTAAAGAGCCCCTATATCTGGTTTGATTCTCTGATCTTGTCTTTTTGTTTCTCAGATACAAAGGTGTCCTTGACTGAAGAGGAAGTGATCTGAAATTAACGAACCCCGGGTGGGGCTAGAGCAGGTCTTTTAGCTTCTACAGAAAAGGATGGGGAAGGGGGAATAACTGGGACAGAGGTTTAGGTCGGAAGAGGAATGGGGAAGGACGGGGAAGCAGGTAAAGGGCTGGACCACTAACACTAAGAGTATTTTTAAAAGCTGTATGTTGTTGTTACCTTACACATGAGATAATGTTCCTCTTAGAAGCTATGAATTGACACATAAAAAGCCCAACACCAGATGTGGGATACCTCTCCTTGAGTAGCTGCTCAAATATGTCCTGGATAGCCCTGAAGCAATGCAGAATATTGCCATTCTTCTTGGCTGTTCAGCAGAGCTTGATGGTAAGACTCAGTTTCTGAGAACACTGCACTCATTGGGCACAGATACGGTGAGATTATGTTGGTACTGTCTTGAATATTTCCTTCCTGCTCACTAACTGTCATGGGACTGGAAGGTGATTTGCTTGCAGCTGAGGTGAGGGTCTTACCCGGTCAACAGTCTTAACCAGCTGTGGACGATTGGTTCCTTAGTGCTGGTTAACTGTCATAGTACTAGAAAGTGATTCATATACTGCTGGATGGGGTGCCTTACCCAGTCTTACCCTGTCTACAGTCTTAGCCAGCTAAGAACCCTGGAAGGGCAATAATAACTGATGTGGTGAGAGATGCACATGAATATGATAACGGCACAAATATTTTCTAATTGAATTTAAGACCTGTTTCATGGGAGGAAATACAAACCTGGTACTACAAATCTGGCTAAGAACCCAGATATGTGAAGTGTATAGACCCCAGGAGTGTTCCCACTGCAATTATTTTTCTAAATTCTACATAATATGTAGGTGCCCCCTTAATTCATATCTGAATTCATACCTGCAACTCTCAGACCCCATCAGGTAAATTTCTTTGACTAGTGAATGATAGTTGACTCAAAACCTCACCAC